ACACACGCACGCACGCACGCACGCACGCACGCACGCACGCACGCACGCACGCACGCACGCACACACACACACACACATTTCCATTCCATTAGTATATTAAATGACCTAGTCTGCATTAGCATGCTATATGTCACAATGTTCCTTATTATAGGCAAATAGGGCTTACACATGTTAACAAGACTACATTGACGATGATTTTTGACATATCGGTCATTAATTAATATAGGGGGGCCTACAAGTTTTCATTATTTTTAACCATTTTATTGTTTCAATCTTGCTACACTCAATAAATTGCTGCTTCTAGAATATTAGTATAGATATATATATACGAATCATTTGAGCTATTTCTTGAATAAATTGGATCAGTATTATTGAAATTATCGCCCATTTGCATTATGCACACAATTAAGTTAGATGCTTCATGGACGTCTAGGAAGCATTAGAAGGAAAACTGGTCTTGTCCACTGATCTCTAGTATACTAACATAATAGTATAAATTAATAGAGATCAGTGGTCTTGTCGTGTAGTTGTTACGGGTTGTGACATTCCGTCAAGTGGCGTAGCCATCCATGGTGCCGGACCGGTTGGCAATTTTTATGTTTGAAATGTGATCCGATTACTTTGTATAAATTCGCATCATAGAGCTGGCAAAAGTTTCGAGCGGAGCACAGAGCATGAATCTGTAGTTATGAATAAAGTGTAATAGTATATGTTGCGTATGCGACGAAACAGGGCATTTTTTATTAATTCCTGTTCGATGCTGCGGGCCTGCTGCACATGAACGCCCTCTACTGTTGACTGTCTGTTGTACACATAGAAATAATATAGATAGTATTGACTTATATATATAATAAGTCTATCTATATTATTTCTATGGTTGTACACCATATTTACTCCCGCCCATAGAAGTGAAGAGAGAACCCACCACTCTTCTCTCTTCACTGCTATGCTCCCGCCTGCGCCTGCCGCTGGACACGTGCGTCTCCAACCTATCGCGAAATGTGTTATGACACATTTTGATTTTGTAAAGCTCTCCTATATTACTTATAAAATCTATGAATATTTTCACATTTAGTTGTATTATTCCTACATTTGTGTTTTCTCAGCAGAAAAGAATTTCCTGATTTTTCTTATCGTAATGGTTATCTCAGGAAACGTAATAATCATGTCGGCGCCCACTAGAAGTGACACAATGGCAGATGATTTATTTTAACATTATTAATAAGTTGATTTAATGTGCAAATCTTATTGTAAGTAGATACGTATTTGACGATGCCAACAGCTACAATATTCGAGATAAAAGAGCTGTTTGTGCAATCAAGGTAAGCTAATCTGGTCTATGAGTAATAGTATGACTATGTGACTGTCACTGTATCATGTATGTGACGTCCCTGGCCCACGGACGTGGACATTCGTGTTTCCGGTGGGATGTCCCCCAGGGACTCGCAGCTAGGGGAATACTCCAGCTAGGGCCTGCATACCTCCCAAATCCCATTGGTTGATACAAATCAAGTGCCTGAAACTCCTGTTTTAATAAAACTTTTATGGTGCATTGTGACCCTAACCCTAATTAAAATTTAATTAAAAAATTAACTAGATTTGTATCAACCAATGGCCATTTGGGAGGTATGCAGGTCCTAGCTGCGAGTCCCCCATTGTACTATCGGAGGCAGCTCTAGTAACTATAGTATAGCTATATCGGAGGGTACCCTGGTTAGGGTTCGATGTATCGGAAAGTACCTCGGGGTACTATACGATATGTCGCTGCGTGCTTAGCTCTAGAACTATAGCCCTCCGCTCTGCTGCAGGGCTATAGAACATACTATGGCAATTTCCAGGGAGTAAGCAAAGACAACTTTTTTGCGGTTAATAACTTCTTTGGTATGCCAAATAAAGCACATTCTCTGCCGCACAAATGTCTTAAGTTACTACAATTTACAAACACTAGAATTAAACCGCAAACTAACGCTTAAATGTTGTACTTGCTATATTACTCGTCGACGAAGATTGTTTACCAACTTGTAACCGCCATTTTTCGCTAGTGGCGCTAGTGAGCGGGCACAATGTATTTCCAAGTGGAGGGGTGGGCAGGTTGCATGCGGTTGCAAACCGCCATTTTTCGTTACGCAGCGCTAGCGCGGTTTGCAACCACGTGCAACCTGCCCACCCCTCCACTTGGAAATACATTGTGCCCGCTCACTAGAGAATAATGGCGGTTACAAGTTGGTAAACAATCTTCGTCGACGAGTAATATAGCAAGTACAACATTTAAGCGTTAGTTTGCAGTTTAATTTTTTGTGTTTGTAGTAACTTAAGACATTTGTGCGGCAGAGAATGTGCTTTATTTGGCATACCGAAGAAGTTATTAACCGCAAAAAAGTTGTCTTTGCTTACCCCCTGGAAATTGCCATAGTATGTTCTATAGCCCTGCGGCGGAGCGGAGGGCTATATAGTTCTTAGAAGCTTACTGCGTACCCGTGCAATTGCCCAGCGGGCCAGCGTTACACTTGACTTTCAGCCAACTGATGGTGTGTAATAACATTACACTCTGTCAAGTTACCACATTCACATAGGATTGAGAAACTCAAACATCGCAGATCAATATAAAATGCGTATGTCCTATGTGTTGGACTATATTTCCTCTCTTTTCTCGCTTTTTTTAAACGCAGTGCTACGCCATCGTATATATCTGCTTGCTAGCCTCCAGGCTACACATCCGCCGACATCCAGGCGGCTGCGCAGCAGTGATCGCGTGTACGGGTCGCGTACACATGATTGCGAAACGGGACGCGTCTGCTGATTGCCCGTAGAATATACGAATATAGTGGTCGACTGCGGCGTCCTTATCCTTTCATCCGTCTCTCTCTCTCTCTCTCTCTCTCTACTCGTCTCTCTCTCTCTCTCTCTCTCTTCACACACAGAACACACACACACACACACACACACACAAGCCACACACACAACACACACACACACACACCCCACACACACACACCACACACACACACTCACACACACACACACACACACACACACACACACACACACACTCGGCAATCAGCCAGAGGCGAACCGTTTGTGCAATCATCCGTCTACGTGTCGCCAAGATCCTGTGTGAGATGGATGTCCGGATGCAGGTTAGGCCTAGCGGCTCCTTGTCCTCGAAACAGATAGCCACGGCCCTTTGTTGTAGGCTCACGCTCTCGCGATCGGTGCAAGCCTGACCGCTATTTGCCAGTGGGTCCGTCTGTACGCGTTGCACGTTCCGGTCCGTCCCCGTCCGGCAACATTCGTTTGCTACGCGGCTCGAACATGAAACTACACGAGGACCGGTTTGGGCGCCAGCATTGTGAAATGAACCCACTGTATCCCAAACATGAGGACCACGACCTTACTCGAAGCCACGGCACAATTTTGTGCAAATAATGGAGTATCGCCCTATTAGTCAGTTCAGCGTTCCAACGGGTTTGCTCATTGAGAATAAAAAGGCTAGGGTTTGGATTTAAAAATAAAACAAAACGGTATGGCAATTATATAGCATATTATATAGACAAAAACAGTCTGTGGTGTCACACTCGTCCTTGGTTCGTTTTTACAAGATTTCATTGACAATATCTTTAATGCCAAATTAGCCTTTCCACACCTGCCGATAAACGTCTATATTACGGAGTAAAGTTTTTTACAAAACATGTCGGAACGCAGCATAACCGTATTTATTTCAAACGCCATCGCCTACAAAGCGGGTATATTCGCCAAATCAGGGGGAAAAACATACACCGGGGCGGCGGGCGATTTCGCCCCCGAAAATGCCCCAGAATAAGAGCCCCCGAAAATACGATATCGGGGCCGACCCAAAAGCCAAAAGAGTCGCCCTTGAAATCGATTCGTCCAGGTCGGTTCCGCGCCTTGCGATCCTCGCTCGGCCTCTGCCCAGCGCAGCCGGTTCGCACGGCCGCGGTAGAATTTCCTAGCTACGGTGTGGCCTGTTCAATGTGTTTATCATTAGCATTGCATGCTGTGTAATTGCCATTCAATCGAAGCGCGCGGCCGCCGGCCCGCCCGCGTATATATACGTGTGCTGCCTGTGCGCGTGCTTGCGTGTTGTGCCTTGCGCGCGTGCTTGCGGTGTGTGCCTGCGCGCGGTGCGTGCAGTTTGCCGCGGGCCCTACCACCCCCTGTGCCTTGCAGGTGTGCTCTACGCGCTGCCCTCGTGCGTCGCCTGGTGCCGTGCGTGCAGGGCGTGCCTGTGTGCCGCCGGTTGCCTGCTGGTCAGTGCATCTGGTGTGTGCCTGCCGCGCGTGCGCTGCGTTGCGTTGCGTTGCCTGCGTTATATGCGTGCGCTGCGTGTGCATCGCTCGTGGCGTGCCTGCATTGCGTGCGTGCGTGTCGGTGCGGGTGTGCCTGCTCGGGCGTGCCCTCACGTAGACCCGTAGGCAATTATAGATACGTTTTAATCCATGAAAATCCTTAATGAAATTCACACGCTTATATTTTTCCCTGCCGGCACCACTCGTTTGTCATTCCGTTGGCTAGCCTTTTTTTGCTTCATTTCCCCGAAGAGAGTTTTGCTGCTGCTCTCTCATAGTCCAGCCGCAATGCAACCCTCTAAATTTTGAGTAGTGAGTACCACGCTGAAACAATTGTGCCCCCCCCCATACTTCAATTCAATGCCGCCCCTGCCCAGCAAGGCAACGTTACGCAGCGTCGACTGTGAACAGCCATCTACACGTAGCCTCGGCGGAGCCCGCTTTCAATCAAACGAGGCCCTGAGCGTTACCAGGAGCCCTTACGCGGGCCTGCCGACCCCACCGCCAAGAGACTTCGCGGGTATAACACACAGTCGATCCTCCTAGACTGCGTACAAGTGCGGACATATCCACTATTTGGCTAAGCCCGTAATAGTCTGTGTTTAGCTGAACCTGTTGATGTATTACTATGAAGGTGCATTGTGTGGTTGTTGTGACTTATGAGTTGTGTGATTAGTCACTGTTGTCTTTGTCAGTCTGATGAATAACTGTCTTTGAATGATTGACTGTTGTGTCTTGTGTTGTGTCTGTGTGTGTGTGCTTGTGTGTCTGTGTGTGGTGTGTGTGTGTGTGTAGTGTGCGTCGTGGTTAGTGCGTGCGTGTTGCCTCGTGTGACGTGGTGTGTGGCTGTGTGCGCGCCCCACGAGTGTGTATTGAGGCTACCTGTGCTTTGTGTGCTACAAAACACTGCTAACATTCGAGGAACAGCCCTGCGAAAAAGTCGCCCTGGAAAGTGGAAAAAAGAGCCCTGGAAAATGAAAGTAGCCCCCGAAATTTTGGGGGGGGTTTGCAAAAAAGAGCCCCGGAAAGAAAAAAATTAATTTTTCACTGAGATCGCACATCATACGAGGTCACAAATTGTGATTCATTTTGGTTATATTAATTATTATTGCCGAATATACAAGACAGCAATCGTTTTCTATAAATGTACGCTTGATGGTTGCTACAAATTAAAAACTGACTTCTTCTTACTAAAACACTCATTTGTGTCCTTTTTGTGGTGAGCTACAGTGTCATTGACACTTTCATTTAAAGGAAGAACTAGCTTTGCGAAAACGAAGGGCTGAAAGTCAGGGTACGCAGCAACATATCGTATAGTACCCCGAAGTACTTTCCGATATATCGAACCGTACCCAAGTTACCCTCCGATAGTACCCTGGGGGACATAGACCCTATTAGCGCTAATATGGAGTATCGTATAACCTCTACAGTCCACTGACACTGTTCGTAGGTAACAAACCATTCAACCAAGTCGCAAGTGACAACAGACAAGTCTGTAAAACTGCCTTAATATAATCAGGAGTAAGATAATATAGAGGAGTATGACTGTCCAAAACATGTGAAATTCAACATTATATACCTGATATAATCACGGTGATGAAAACGCAAAGACACGTTATTGATAGTTTTGTGATTGAAATCACTGTGCATTAAGTAACTGTGATAATGAAATCACTATGATTGAATTACTCTGGGCCTAGTAGCGAACTTTGTAACATAATAAAAGAGTATAGACTATAGTCATCGTATGGTATGTAAGGAAAAATGTTATGCATATATTATATGCCTATAATGTTAGTGATACTAAATAGTGAGTGGTACACAAACAAATTATCACATGCATATACACAAACAGAAAGATTGAGGTGCATTTATATTCGCATGTGCCATTCATCCTTCCACATACACACTTCCTGGACATGCACAATGTATGAATAGAAAAACGAAGTGTGATACAGGTTGTCGCACAATGTAAATTTATGCGAAATGGTACATTGTAAAGTATAAACTCGATAATATATAATGGTTATTTTTTTAGATTCCCGACAGGATGGCAGCTCTTAACCGTGATTCTTTATTTCCCACTTGGGAGCGTCCTGGCATTACTCAGGTTCTTCATCGGACTTCACGCATTTGTCGTTTCTTGCATCTTACCGAAGATGTCAACGGTTCGAAGGTAATATGAATTTAAACCTAAAAACAAAAACTCCGCTGAGGAAACCATGTTTCAGTACAGATGTGTAAAGTACCTGCTTCGGCACCTTCCACATTGGGAAGAAATTGTGTGCACAAATCACAATGATCCAGTGTCCACCAAGAATGCTTAAATTTTCGGTGAAAGTTAAACACGTGCTGGTTTCTATTTATTAAAAGGCAGCCTGCCTATGTTATTAAAAACTGTTTGCCATCTTTTTGTTAGTTGAAAATTGTTATAACAGAGAAAAGACACTGGACATGCACAGTCAAAATGTGTAATTGTCTCATTATAACGTTGTGTCCATAACTTAAAAGAATTAATAAGTTTTTGTGCCACATTTGGAAGCTTATGGATAAATTTCTTATGGTGGATATAACTATAATAACTACGTATAATGAAAGTGGATAAAGAGATTTGTTGTCATGTAAATAAATTATAAAGGTTGTATGATGACCTAATAATACATTTGAGTTTATATGTAGTTAATATTTTTCAAAGTGAATTAATTGATTCATTGCCACGTAAATAATTCCAACTCAGGTTTGAATTTATTTATACATGAATAATAGTTACGTAATATCAGGGGTCGAAATTAGATTTTTATTATGGTATCCATTCGGGATACCAGGTATTGAAATCTGGTATCCCCCCCCAAAGATCTGGTATCCCATTTTTTGGATAGTAATTTCAACAATGTTGGTATCCAAAATCTTGCAATATGCAATAATAGCATATGAAAATTATTAATATGTAATGTAATTATTAGGCTATATAAAAACATGAAAACAGATTCACAGATATGCACAGACAAGTACACTGCAGACGCATTGCCTGGTTCGCTTGATACAATGTATACACATCACATTTATGATCAACATCGGCCACGCTTAAGGCCCCTTCACACTAGAGCTACGCTCATCACGATCGCCACAACGGCGTGGTCTGAGCGTGTTGGACGTAGTACAATCGTAATACGAACGGGTCGAGTTTGCTAGAGACGCACCATGGTCATAGCGAGAGCATGGTCAGGTCGCAGAGACATCTCCATGGACGTAGTAACAGCGTGATGAAAACGTATTGACATCGTGCTGAGAACGGGGCGACAATTTTCACGCACCCGACATGCTTGCGATACGCTTGCGATACGATCATTAAGTTCGTACTACGCTCGAGTTACGTGGGTACTACGCCTTCCACGTCTCTGATACGACCGCACTGCGCTGTCTTTCCGCCACGCTCACACCACGATTGTTTTGAACATGCTCAAAGTTTGGCCACGCTCTCCACGCTCATGGTGACTGCACCGCGCTCGATCGCGATCGCAGTACGTCCATATACGTTCAAACTGCGTTCTACACATTTCCACCACGCTCTTAGAGCGTAGTACAAGCGTAGTGAGATTGGGGCCATGGTGTGAATGGCGTATTATGCTCATCAATCACTATCCGGATTTTGACGATTTTTTTTTTTACTATCCCGGCGGGATACCAAGCATTGAAATCTGGTATCCAACACAAGAATCTACTATCTCGCGGATATCGTGATACCGCTAATTTCGACCCCTGAATATGTAACGTATTCTGCAGCTTGGCTAACGGTATCGTATACATACATTTAGTATAGTGCTGCGGTGCATGTGCTCCGTTCTGGGCGTGATTGTGACTCGGGATGGCACAGAGAATCAAATGAAATCAGCACGAGTACTAGTTTGCAACCACGTGACACCACTGGATCATCTGGCAGTTGACCTAGTGATGGCAAATATAATGGTAGATATAAAGTATATAATATCAAGTATCTAAGTATATAGTATACTATTTACAACATACGGTATTTGGCGGTTTATAGGAAATTATGATGACTTAAACGCTCGCTAAATTTAGAAGGTAGTAATCTGAAAAACGTTTTCCTGCAATATAACCCTGCCCACTACCAGGTTTATCCTCATAACAAATAGGATCACCGCCTGTTTTCCTATTTTTACCTCTCAATTTTCCTGCATTTCATGAGTCCTCACTATCAGCATTTGTTAATTAAAACTGCCGGCTATCCTGCTAAGGTGAATAACACCAGCCTGTATCTGAAAATCTTATTTAAATAGTGAAACTTTTTATGACCTCATCTAAATTGATGCAGTGGTATTGTAAGATTTTACTTTCATGCTTACTATGTACACAGATACACACAATAGCATTAAAATCCAAACACCTTAATTAGCTTTAAGTGATTTCTACTAAAGTGAGCCTAAATAATGACATATGTATATATATATATATATATATATATATATTAAAATGACCTATAAGCGACATGTGACATTTTAATTTTTCCAGCCCAGTGTGTGGGATATACCCGAGTTACTGAACTGGGCATTAGGATATGAAGATTTGGGTGTTAAACAGGGACGGGATGTTCTGATCAAAAATGCCAAAAAACATTGTTCAGGTAATATAAAACACGAGGATAATGTCAGTATACATGAATGTTTTATTGCTGTTTGTGTATGTAATTAATGAAGATAATAATTATTTTCTGGCTAGTTCTTCACATATTATGTGCGAAGAATGTAGGCGAATTCATATTAATATCATTGACACTGACATGGTCTGTGGTCACAGAGGGGCTAATAGCTGTGTAAGTTGAAGTGAAAATATAAAAATGTTATTAAATATGCTTTGCCTTCCAGAATCAAATGTTCCCATTTTAAGCTATCCTGAAGGTGCTTCTACAAGTGGCAAAAGAGGATTGTTAAAGTTTAGGTATGAGTCTTAAATTTTACTAATGGAAAAGGTCTCAGTAATAAGCAGTGCATGTTGATTGATTTCTGATGGGTGTTTGACTTAATTCATAGTGTTTGAGGGTAAGCTTTTGTTTTTTGTGAGCTGTTGCAGCTATAAAATGTCAACTAGTGCACAAAACAAGCTGCTGATGTCTATAATATAAGTGAGGTAAAACACATTTTAGTGTGCTTGCAGTATGACTAGAAGTGTTTACATTTTTACTCTTTAATAGTCAATGATCAGGTGAACCTTACTAATTGTAAAGTCATTAGTGTGGTTGTAGGTTTTGATTTCGTTTATTAAAGATGAACTGTATCTTTACAGCACATGGCCATTCTCTCTGGAACAGCCTGTCCAGCCTGTATGTACCTAAACACTATGCACACTTAATGCTAATAAAACTATATATAATTCTATGATAAAGTTGCAGGAATGCAAAACCATTTTCTAGTGAATGCTTTCTAGTATATAGTTAACATGTAAAAGACTGACATGCTCATGGGTTGTATCTATTTTTCAGGTTGTTATCACTGTCAGACGATTACCACTTGTGGCCATAACCCCAGTGAGTTTTCTAATGTACAAGTAGTTCATGCAATTTTTTTGGTATTCATAACTGGGTAGCCATGAGAAATCTTCCAGTCAGGCCCAGTATTGCTTTAGCAGAATCAAGATGGCTTCTCTACTCTATGAATATTATTAGAATTAAATCAGTGCGGAGTTCATGCTCACCTCATTATTAATTTGTATACACTGTTCCTCATGTACCAGTCCCATATATTTTCTACTTTAATTACTACAAGAATAACAATGTGTTAATGATGGTGATTTTTCCAAGTAGCAGAAATAATACTTATATTATATTTACTTGATACAATACATCTGTATGTATTTAAAATGGTTTATTTTGCTTGATCTTCATTGCAGTCACCAATCGGAAGTAGATGGTGGACAGATCTGATGTGGTTTGCATTTGTGCCATATACCAAATTTCACTTGAGGTACAAATAACAAAAATCTAGGTCACATTTCAGCCACCAGGATTATTTTAAGAAAATGGCATATGCGTTATTGTGACATATATAGAAGTGCAAAGCACAACAAATTACTGTGATAGTTTTGAGAGATGATTGCACTCTTATGCTTTAATTATTCTTACTTGTATATGTAGTTGATATTCACTGGATAGTAATATTAACACCCTTCGAATTAATCAAAATAGTGCTTAAATTTAGTATATTTTGTCATTCATTTAGACATTAGTATGGAATCCATCATGAATAAGCTGCACTTTGATAAGCTAACGCCGCATACGTGTATGACAATTTCCTTCACTATTTTCATATCACAGAATATTACCGGTGCAAGTAAAAGAAAATACAGAGAGCATCGATGACTTTGCTGTCCGAGTTCAACATCTGATGGCACAAGAACTGCACATCGTGCCAACTAAACACACGAGTGCTGACAAAGTTGAGTACGTGAAGAGACACTTTGATACTTCAGGTAGGGCATGTGTATGAGTTTTACAGGCTTTTACAACTTGCACAACTTCACAAAAATATTTAGATTTATCAACTGATATTGCCCATGCTTATTAAGAAATAAAATTTAAACTTGTTTGTATTATAGCTCTTATTATTTTAGTTCTTTAGCAAATCTGAACAGTTTTGAAAAAATTGCACTACCGTGGCACAAGTCAATGATACAGACAGCCGAGCGATTTTCATTTTAACACTGCTTCTTTATGATAAAACTATCCATAATTTATTATTCAATGTCTATTCATTACAAAACATACAATTGCTTTACATCCTATGCAACATTGATGTTACTTACACTATTAACAAATAACTGTAGTGCTTTGTGCTAAAAACGTTAGCATTTGCATGGGCTCACTCTTATTGTTTGTGTAATCATTAGGCCACTTCAAGTCACCTTGTCAATAAGCTTTAAATATTTCAGTTTTCAAAATAATGGTTGAGACGGTACAATCACCTGAGTAAAGTTTTATTGACAGAAAGGTGCTCGTCTTCGATATTCAACCTGTACTCAATAATCAAGGTTCCAGCACATTTTCCTATAAATTTATTATAAATTACTCCAACTTCAGATGCAAGTCCGGTACCATTGCGTCAGAAGCAGAAGGAGCAGCTACTGTACATGTCAGACCCACTATTTAATAAGTGTCAGCAAGTGAAGGAAGTTCTTCCCCTAGTCCCTATAGAGATCATTCGAAGAGACTTAGGTAAACATACAGAACATTTTACCCCATTTTATAATATTTTTGTTGTTGGTGTATTATAAAGTATTGAAAACGTGTGAAATAATTTTTAGTGCAACGTAGACAGCTTTAATTTTGTACGTAAAGTTTTATTACAAGATACAATTAAATTTTTTAATCGAAAAATTTATCAGGGATTTAATGAAAGATAGGTAGAATTATCACTTATATATATTGCTTATCTCTAACATGGTATATATTAACTTATTTTTACAGCAAATACAAGATGTGTCGATGAAACGATAACAAATATATTGGAAGGCAGAGTCACATATACACCAGAACTTCCTGCAACCTCTAAAGCTCAATTATCCAGTTGGTCTACTAAAACTCCGGTAGTTGCAAGTTAATGAATACATAATTAAGCACTCAAGAATGGTTATCCTACCAAGTATATGATGACACAAACATATTGTGCTGAATATACTATGTGAAGGTTCGTTGTGGTATAAAAAGGTAAACATTAATGCAATCGTGAAGATGAGCTATTGCCATGGGGTGTCGTCCGTCGTACATCAGTCCGTCCGTCCGTCCGTCCGTCAACATTTGGCTACGGTCAACGATAACTCAAGAACCGTTTGACCCACATGTTTCAAATTGCATGCAGTTGTTACTCTTATGGGAGAGGTTTGAACGTCCTATTTGGAGCACGCCAGTCGACCTACTTTTGAGCCACGTCCTCTTTTTGGCAAAATGGAAATGGCCATAAGTCAGTTCAGGTTCAACGTATTTTGCTCATTTCTAGTATGTGAATGAATAAGGACTGGCCCCAAAACATATCACATGGGTTTTGATATTAAAAAAAAAATGCAAATGAGGTAGATTTTGGCAATTTCACTATGCATTTCAGTGTCTGCCTACGGTCAATGATAACTCAAGAACCGTTTGACCCACATGTTTCAAATTGAATACGGTTGTTACTCCTATAGGAGAGATTTGAACTTCCTATTTTGGAGCACGCCAGTCGACCTACTTTCGAGCCACGCCCACTTTTTGGCAAAAATGAAAATTGCCATCTAAATTCATTCGATTTTGTTAAATTTTGGTATGTGAATGTGTAAGGCTAGCCCCAAAACAGTTGTTACTTCTATGGGAGAGATCAGAAATTAAATATTTCGTCTAACTGGTCAACAACTCTACAATCATACCTATATAGGTGTAATATTGTGTTTTAGATTCTTCGTTACAGTAATTTGACTGGAATATTTTATTTTTTTTATTTGTGCGATATTCGAAAACTAAAATGGCGATCATTTAGGCGTAGCGCCATCTCTCGTCAAGATTTCAGACTTTCAGATCTGAAACATTTATTTTCACATCAAAACTTATGCATATATCATTATCAAGAGCATATAATGGGAGGAGATATGCTATATAATGGGAGTTCTCCCATATATACTCTTGCTTTATATATCTCCCCTCCCCCTTCTATCACACCCAAAGTGAGCTACAGTGTCATTGGCACTCATTATTTATGTTGTCAATGTTTGGTATCTTTTATTTTATGCAACATTTTTTATATCTTTGTAATTCTAAAATAATCTCTTCTTTTAGACAAAGGATCAAAAAACAATGTGGGCAACGTCTTCAAAAGATCGCATGAAATCTTACCAGGAGAGAAAAGCAGAATTTATAGCAGAGGCCAAGCATAAGTATATGGAAAAACATGGAATATAGTAATACGTTGGCATACATGGTATAAACTCTTAATGTTTAGCTTATTTCATTTATTGCAAACATTTAACTGTTACAGATATTAGACATGTTCATTTGCATTTGCACTGCAATCTTGAATTTTAAAAAGGCCGACATTTCTCAGTTTGTTTATAAATTAGTGACAAATACCTGTGTAATTTACATTGCGATTAGTTGAATGATCTTTTATACTAGAGAAAATGTGTCAATAGCAGGCTATTGTCTAGAATTATTAGCCGCGTCTACACGAGGCGCAACGGATGTGGAATTTTTAGAACCTGTTTCTGTTCATGGTTTCGGTCTACTCGATTATCATTTAGAACTTCTAAGAAATTTCTTTTTTGTTAGTAGGGTGTGCTTATCAGTGTGGTCCCATTTGGATAAGGTCAAAAGCTTTGCTCTTGTAGTTGTCATTTTCCACATGACTGTAATAGTTTTTGGATTTAAGTGCCTACTAACAAGGTTACGACTTCACACAAAGTATACAATGTAGACTGAGGTTCCTGGAAATTAAACTACATGCAAAAGCATAGCAGCCACTTGCAAGTGAGTCTCGAAAAACCAAGATATCTGAGCCCACACAAACCAATTGGAAAGGCAAACGTGAATAACGTTCAATCTGCACCATTCCCGAAAAGAGTCCTAAAAAAAGCAGGTTCTTCAAACTTCAAACATTTTATGTAGATATGCAGCCTAGGTCTGTTTTCTCACACGTCCGGCTATCAGCATTATTTCGAGTTGAGTTGGGATCTTAGTAGTTTAATATGCAACTTGCTTTTGTTGTTCAGTATCAGTAAGTAAAATGTATGTCAAATGCTGTTTATAAAATTTGCTGGCGTTTATGAAGATTGACACTATATTGCTTGTGCTGCAGTTGCTCCAACCTGCGATTGTAGGTTATTATACTTAGGTGTAAATTTTCTCACATTGTAGATAACGAGTTTGTAGTGAAAGTAATGAATTAATTATCTCCAAGTGTACTATTTATTGAAGCATAGCCCTATAATTTTCACCTTAATGATTTTATCAGTTGCTGGATGCTAAATCTAACTTCAAAAGTGCAAATCAAGTCATGTCAGCGAGTGGCATATCAAACGCCGGCAATTTTTTACAACAAACTTATTTATTAAAAATGCACATTGAATGTTAAAAATGATACTGTTGCATGAATAAAACCCAATTTGACAGAAAGAAATGCTAAACGCTAGATTTATATTTCATTTAAAGACTCCGTTGCACATGATTTGTCCTGACTAATACCTTGTAAAAATTATTTTAGGCTCATATGTTAGAACAAACGTATATATTGCTTGGGATTACATATAGTAGAGGTATTTTTTATCACGAAATGATGCAAGTGGGAAGAACCAAGGATTTTTTATGTGATCTGTTTCGTTTATCATTACTATTCAAAACCATGATGAAAAGTGGCTTTCCGAGTTGTATTTTTTTCTGGACTGATTAACATTCAAGTTTTTGGTTGATTTCCGTTTTTGTCATGAGTTATTGCATAAAGTGTTGAGATTTTGTAGAAAGCCATGTTTGATGTGCACTTTGGTCAGTTAAAGTAATGTATTCAAGAATGGTTTGTTTTGATTAACCGTGCTCAAGAGTAATTTTGTTTCATAATATGATGCTGAGAGGGACTATGTCCCCCAGGGTACTGCCGGAACGTACCCTGGGTACGGTCCGGTATACCGGAACTTACCTCGCCTACTCCACTAACGAGTCTAGGGAGTCGCCTACGCCTACTCCCTAACCCTAACACTAACCATATCAGATAGTTACCAGGGTACGTTCCGGTATACCGGACCGTAACCTGGGGGACATAGACCCTATGAGCAATACTGATGCTTGATGCCTCCTATCAATATATGGCGAGAATGATTACAATAACCATTCATGCAGTCATTATGGTGCGCTGTATGCAAATGCAATATTCTTTTTCGTAATGTCCAACCATGGTCAATATCTCGCATGCATATTAGAAAGAATATCTGTTATAGTTTTGATATTTTTGGTCTATGGTAGCGCGTTTGCTGTGTCCTGTATTAATAAACACCTGCCTGGTGCCATACTTAGCTACAGGACAGCCGATGACTGCATGTTACTGCTTGCATTGATCACCATTGATCATTGAAGAGACATCATCAGTAAGCTGCAAGTTCAGATGACACTGAACAAACGCCAGTGTGTTACAGTAATCACAAATTTGTACGGCCACACCTACTGAGAATATTAGATCTTAGGTATGTATTGCACATTTCAGACAAATATTGACGTAAAGATCCGAATATTATGTCGAGAAATGTTGGTCACATTTACGCTCAAATACAACCGTTTAGTTATGCAGTGCAATGCCATTAGTTGTATGACCCATCGATGAAATCGTGAATTTGTGTTGTCCCTATAGTCCTTACTAAACCGGAGATTAATAAACGTATTAATTTTTTAATATTGCACTTTACTGTTACAGACTAATGGCTAACAGTGTGAAACAAGTTAGTGTGATGAATAAATTGACCCTACTTGTAGTCTGTTTTCGATCGTTTAAATGTTTTTACATGAATTACAATGTTTACTTTTGATAAGCATACAGCTATGTCTATAGATATAATTAAGCAAGAAATATGGATAATTATAACTGATGCAAAAAAACATTTGATTTTACTCAGTTATAATTTGATTCAATTTAATAATAACTATATATGTATTATGTATATGATTTACAGACTTAACAATAAATAATGTGATATTGTCTCGTGTTATCACACCTATAATATTACAGCACTTGTGATTCTTCAAATGGGTGATTCTCCAACTAGGGGGTAAATTGCAGTTTCCAGACACGGGAAAAAACCGTTCCAATGAATTTCATTTTACATTTTTAGCTCACCTTGACATCGTCAAGATGAGCTATTGTCATTGGGTGTCGTCCGACGTACGTCCGTCCGTCAACATTTGGCTACGGTCAACGATAACTCAAGAACCGTTTGACCCACATGTTTCAAATTGCATGCAGTTGTTACTCCTATGGGAGAGGTTTGAACGTCCTATGTTGGAGCACGCCAGTCGATCGATCGACCTACATTCGAGCCACGGCCACTTTTTGGCAAAAATGGAAATGGCCATAAGTCAATTCAGGTTCAACGGATTTTGTTCATTTTTGGTATGTGAATGAATAAGGACTGGCCCCAAAACATATCACATAGGTTTTGATATTTTTTTTAAATTATGCAAATTAGGTAAATTTTGGCAATTTCACTATGCATTTCAGTGTCTGCCTATGGTCAATGATAACTCAAGAACCGTTTGACCCACATGTTTCAAATTGTATAGAGTTGTTACTCTTATGGGAGAGATTTGAACAGCCTATTTTGGAGCAAGCGAGTCGACCTACTTAATTTCGAGCCACGCCCACTTTTTTGCAAAAATGAAAATGGCCATCTAAATTCATTTGATTTTGTTAAATTTTGGTATTTGACTGGAATATTTTATTGTTTTTATTTGCGCAATATTTGAAAACCAAAATGGCGATCATTTAGGCGTAGCGCCATCTCGTCAATATTTCAGACTTTCAGATCTGAAACATTTATTTTCGCACAAAACTTATGCATATATCATTATCAAGAGTATATAATGGGAGATATGCTATATAATGGGAATTCTCCCATATATACTCTTGATTTATATATCCCCCCTCCCTCTTCTATCACACCCAAGGTGAGCTACAGTGTCATTGACACTTTCATTATTATGAGACTGGATACGTGATTAGTCAAGAACCACGACGAGCAGCGCACTCGCGACGATTTTTCTTTTTCTTTTCTAGATGCATACATGTAACACAGCGTCATCTTGATAACTCCGTTATCTGGTCACATCAGCAAAAAAAGGCATGCGACAGTAGCCTTCCGTCAATTGTTCACCCTTGCAGTATTTCGTATCTGGAAACGGCCGCTTTCTCAATTTTTTCTTAATTATAGTAATTAAGTATTAATAGTAATTATAGTATTAGTTTTTTCTTAATTATGGTAATATTGGGCACTAGTGCAATAATCTGCCTTTTATACATAGGCTAGATGCCTTCTAGACGTCTAGAAAGCATGAAAGGTAGGTTTGAGATTGTCGAGAAATTGTGCCTTTCCGTCAGGTGACGTAGCTATGGTTTGCGCGTGAAACGTGATTCGACACCTCGCTGGAGATTTGCATGATGTAGCCTACATGACAAAAGCTTCGAGTGAATCAAGTCGTTTATAGCGTGAATAAAGTGATTTTATGTGGTTGGGTACCACAATCCAGCATCGCACTTGCGTACTTCTAACGTGATATGTTTGGCTTCTAATGAGCATTATATTTAGAAAACAATGTGTAAAGTAGAGGCTTGAAATACTCACATCTGCATTAAGCAATTTTTCATTCTTTTTCTGGCATTGATTTCGAGCCGGGTTGGAGGCTCCAAGTTGGAGCATGACGCTAAAAGCATCCATGGATCTGCCAGTGCTTGAAAAAGCATTAGATAGCAAAAGGACCACCTACATTTCGTTAAAATTTTACTTTGAATATCTTTCTAAAAGTAGTATTGAATTTCGTATTGGTTTACATGGGTCGCATTTTATTTCGTACATCCAGGAAGTACGGATATGCTTGATCCAATGACAGATGGCCAGTGTACACGGTCAGTTTGCTAATGTGTACACCATGTGCATGTATACGGGTACTATTAACCTATAACGATGCTAATTACCCCTCGCAAAAATGCAAATGACATTTTGTATATACAAAGACATGTATCTCGTTTGCCCTGTCAGCGCTTGCACTAATTCACGCAACCAGTTTATCCACCCATTCTCTTATAGCACCTAGAGGAAAACACTGCATCAAAAGCAATACTGGGATTATATTGTAGACGTGTTATGCGCACTACCGAAGTAGAGGTTCTGCAAGAGACTATAGAGAGAGATGACAAGAAGTAATGTGCTAGCGTTTTACTCAACCTCTAATGCAATACATAAATTCTTCCAGTGCACTACTGAACAAAAGAGAGCTTGTACTAAAACAGTAACCGTATCACGCACTTACACCTTTCTCAGCGGGTGTCGCTTTTACAAAAGCTCCTGAGGAGGGGCGTCCCCCACTATGTATACGTCGTGGCTCGGACCAATGACCACGCTCCTTCCTCCACGTCACCGGTCTCGTTTTAGCTCCCACTTGCCCAATCCGCCTTACCGAATAAGGTGGGGTAAGTATTACAACTACTGAATACGGTGGGGTAAGCATTTCCCACTTGGCTCGGTTCCATGATCCGATTCTGGCCCTGGTGTCAGCGCAGTCATCCACAGGTTGGCACCTTCGCGGTTGATATTCTAGAGCTGCCTGTCACATCCCGCAAGAATTCAGGGATTCATGGCCGTGGTTTCCGGCTGGCCGGCTCTGTCCCGAGCCACGGCTCGCTTTGATCTCGGGCCCGACCGCTGACCTTCCCGTCTCCGTTTTGTACATTCCCCCTGACACCGGTTGCATTCCCGCATCGCCATCACTTCCCTGGGGTGTGGGATTTGCCCGCTTACAATATATAGTAGAGGAATTTTTTGTCACGAAATGATACAAGTGGGAAGAACCAACCATTTTTTATGTGATCCGTTTTGTTTATCATTAATATTCAAAACCATGATGAAAGGAGTATTTCAGTGTTATTGTTTCTGATGAAAATATATGTTTCAAAAGTGCATTCATAGCTTCAAAGCTTCAAATCAAAATATTAGTTTTTGGTTGATTTCCATTCTTGTCAGTTATTGCAAAAAAGGTGTTGAGATTTTGTGGAAAGCCATATTTGATGTGCACTTTGTTCAATTATCTAGTAATGTATTCAAGAATGGTTTGCTTTGATGAACCATGCTCAATAGTAATCCTGGTTCATAATACTGATGCTTGATGCCTCCTATCAATATATGGCGAGAATGATTACAATAACCATTCAGTCATTTTGGTGCGCTGTATGCAAATACAATGGTCCTTTTCGTCATGTCCAACCCTGGTCGACATCTCACATGCACATTAGAAAGATTATATGTTATAGTTTTGATCATTTTGGTCTATGGTAGCGCGTTTGTCGTGTACTGTATTAATAAACACCTGCCTGGCGCCATACTTAGCTATAGGACAGTCGATGACTGCATGTTACTGCTTGCATTGATCATCATTGATCATTGAAGAGACATCAGTAATCACAAATTTTTACGGCCACACCTACTGAGAATATTAGATCTTATGTCTTGCACATCTTAGACGAATTTGGATGTAAAGATTCAATTATTATGTCGATCACATTTACCCACGAGATTAACTGTCTAGTTCTACAGTACAGTGCGATTAGTTATATGATCCAGGGTCCATATCGTGAATTTGTGTTGTCCCTAGTCCTTACAACACCGGACATTAGTAAACGCTGTATTAATGTTTAATAGTGGACTGTAGTTTTAGAATAATAGCTAACAGTGTGAAAAATGTTAGTGTGATGAATAAATTTAGTATAATAAGCAAAATATATATGGATAAATATAAGTGATACAAAAATATTTTTATTTAGTTATGATTAAATTTCTTTAATAATAACTATATATGATTTACAGACTTAACAATAAATAATGTGATATCATCTCGTTTTGTCACACCTATAATGTTACAGCTCTTGTGACTCTTCAGATGGTACTATTTCAGCTTAAAATAAGTTAATTTAATATACATAAAGTTATTAAACAATCTCATTGAGACGATATATCATTGGTGTATAATGGATAATTACATAAAGCATAACATTTACACAAGTTCATAATATATTGTTCATATTAATCTTATGAATCAGTACAAACACAAACTTGTATATAAACACATTACAAGAGTTCATTTAAATTTTAATCTAAATTTAAATAATCAATTCATTTTATTTATTTGAATTTTCTGATAATGTTGTGAATCACACGAAAATCATATAGCAAAGCAAGATTGAATGCTCATAATTTACTGTGAATATTGTGTTTTAGCCTCATCATCAGCTGGCACAACATTTGAGTATTTTACCTTCAGGTCATAGTGATCACGCTCTTCTGGGGGTCTATAAGGAAGCCCTAGGTGCTCAAAGACAGACTCCTCTGTAGGTGTACTCAGAGGCTGTCCTTTACTTAACTTTTCTTTCCCCTGTGTGGAAAAACAAAATACAATGCTTAAAACAACAACTCGAGAAGTTCTAAAACATGCAGATAGGGGGCTCTAATAGCAAAAGCAGTTCAGTCCTTTGTTAACAGTAAACAAATCCATGTTTAACCCTCCTCTTGAGGGTCAAAAGGTTATCAGACACTTACTCTTCGCATGTTAGCGGAAAGTAGATTTCATGTTCCTTTCAATAAAGTGATAAAAACGGTAGGTCAGCTCTGAAACAAAAAAGTTTTGCACTCGGTCCGTTAGACCATGTCCTCAGAAAATGTCTGATATCTGACCTTTCCCCCACTGCCCTTTGACCTGTGACCTCTCGCGCTGGTGATGGGTTTCCTCCCCATCACACTATACATCAAATATTAAGAGCGTAGGTTGAGCCGTTGAGATTTGTGCCGCAATTCCGTATTTCCTCCTATACCTTAACTTAAGTTAAGGGGGAAATAATCCCCCTCCATTGACACATCTTGCCCATTGACCATTGACCCCCAAATTCAACATCCCGAGTCCTTTTCGCGATCCCCCCCGACGTCACGAATATTAAGACCGTACGTCGAGCGGTCAAGATTCGTGCCCAACTGTTGACGGACGCACGGACGGACGCACGGACAATCATGCGATTCTACAAGCTGTATCTGACTGTCTGTTCTCTGTCCACTCCATGGACGGATCGTGTGTCATTTCTTCGCTTCTGTAGGCATTTCCTAGCGAAGTGGTTTTTCTCCCCACACTGGCTGCATACTTTCCCCCACGCCGGGCACTCTTCCTTCTTAAACGCATGCTCTCGCCCACAAAACTTACACGTTCTCTCCGCCCCTTGTCTCTTCCTCTCCTTTTCCTCTGTGCTTCTCCGGGAGCCACCCCTGCGCATCGATATTCTGCTTAACGTCTCCTGCCGTAAAGCATGACATTGCCTCGTGGAATTCTCCGCGGCTCTACAAATATCGACGCTGTGCTCCAGCGTCAGCTCGCGCTCCTTCAGTAAAGCTTGCTGGGTCGCTGTGTCTCGTACACCCAACACAATTCTGTCTCTGAGAATTGACGTCACGCAGTTCTCGCAGTAGTTGCACGTACAAACTAGAAACCTTGTTGCCGTTAAGAAGTTCTCAAAGCTTCTCACCTTCGTCTTGATTCTTCCGGTTAAACACGTATCTCTCGTAGGTTTCATTTATTTCACCCACTGCAAACTCCTCGAACTTATCGATAATCTCCTGCACCGTTCTCTCCGCCTCCTCCGTCGAGAAATGGAACCCATTGTATACCTTGGCGCCACTTCTCCGAGGGTGTGCAGGAACAGAGCTACCTTATATTCACTGGTCTGCTGCTCCAGGTTCGTGATTATCGAATAGTTCTTCCACTGCTGTCTGAAGGTTTTCCATCTCTCAACTATATTCCCCTCCACGGACAACGGGAGTGGAGCGCGTATACCTTGCACTGGCCTGTGAGCCATGCTAGTTCACTTAACAGCTGCGTTGTAGTCCGATAACCGCTGCCACCATGTTACGTGTTACTGTACACACAAAGAAAAGGCTGAACACCGAGCTTGACCAGGTAGTGCCAGGTGGCTGTACTGAGAAAGCAAGAGAGCGCACATGGCACCTGTTGGTGGTATATATACTATATGCCCCGTGACCATAGCTCCACCTGTGGGCCGACATAGTTCAAATCTATTATCACGTAACATCCCATACCATAGAAAATGATAACAGTCACCCCTCATCCTATAACGAATGACACTACACATAACGCGTAAAAAGGTCGATCTATAGCATGCCACGTTATGCATGCTTATATAATCATTAATAGCACATTAACTAGTAATATAAGTATTTATATTATATTTAATATCATTTATATAGTACAGTATACATATATATGTGTATATATATACATATATATATATATATATATATTATCAGGGGTTAATAATGACAAATTTGTCATTATTAACCCCTGATATTATCAGGAGTCTATCAATATTGTATATCAATATATTGATAGACTCCTGATATTAGATAATATATATCACTATATTTTAACAGTGAGATACCCCTAGTAATTAATATAATCTTGAAACAATGCATTACGCGAAGAACATTGCAGACAATGGAAACTTTACCTTTCTGATGACTCCGGCATTGAGCCTATGCTCTGAGAGAGTCATTCCCTTCTTGATTGCGAGAAGGCGCATCGATCTGTTGAAATGTGCCGATCCAGTGAAATAGAGCAAGGCACACGCGTACTCCGTGTACGGTACCACAATGATGTCAATCCGACGATGCTGAAGGTTAAAACAAATTTATGTTCACTTCAGTGTGCTGTGTGGTGTTTAACGTTAGATACATGTGCATGCATATATCATCATGGTATCATGAACATACCTATACTATAGTATATGTACTGTATAGATGAGATGTTCATGCACATCTGATATACATTGGTATCGCATAAACAGACGCCAAAATTCGTGCCTATACTATAGTGCTAATGGATAATATAATAAACATATGCGTATAGACATTAATAGAGAGGTTTAAAATGCTCATAAATGAATTTATTAGGCTTATTTAATCTTTTTCCAGGGCCTGTAGCTCTGATGCCCACCTCCCTGGATCTACCAGGTATAAATTTTGAGCAATCGACTTGCAACCACAAACTGCTTAGCTATGCACCTTTGACGGATGACGAACAACCTATCTATCTCACCTTTCTGTTTTCCCCTGGCAGTTTGCATGCGCCAAGATACTTTCTGTGGGTGCCATCTGTTGCTGTTACTAAATCATCAGTGATAAAACCTGCGAACAAAACTCCACTGTGTTGTTGTGCGCCACGAAATGATAACAAAACCTCAAACTCAGTAAGCTCTCATCAACATAACCCTTCGTATCTATGGTGACAGGTGAACTGACCACTCTGGTGCAGGTCCAGGACGAGTTGGTGCAATACTCCAACGTGTGAGCTGCCATCAGGATGTGTGATAAGAACATCAGTGTCACCGCACGTCGGTTTTCCACGCCTGTATGAACCACACGCTTGCACTATTAGCCCCTTCGCTATCGCGAGCGCAGATGTCTGTACCTGAAATGAACAGCCAACACAACTGAAACGGAACCAGACAGGGCTCTCTAGCACTTTCCTCAACGTAGCACGCAATGTTGCATCGTTATATTACTTCCTTCGCATCTCAGCAGGTTTTTGAATATGTACTTGAGAAAATAATGAAGAGAGCTACAGGCCAGAAATAAAAGCAAATGGTTAATGAATGCAAGCCAATGCTTCAGTGCTTTTAAGCTATATCTGCTCTATCTAAGAAGGCCACTAACACAAGTACAAAAGTGCCTATGATAACTGTCTTTGTTAAATCAATATTGTTGATACTGACAATTCTGGTATTAGATCAGTGCTTAGCAGTCAGATTGTGTATACTGCTTCATAATGAAATAATATTATGTATATAAATGAACAATAAGTAATACGTGTGCTATCCTTCCCTACACTGGAAGAAGTGCAATTATGATTGGCACTATTATGTTTTAGACTCACTAAAACAGTTAGGTTTATATCCGATTGCAATGCTGCATGCATATGTCTGAAAAACGGATCCTGCACCTATCGTAGATTCCTTTTACAGCTTCTATAAAATCATATGCATACCATGTTTTCTATTTCAGCCGCTTCTGAACGTGGCATTCTGTCCAAAAAGTCCTCAAAGTGATTTAACCCAATAGCCTGCTGCTTTGTAATCTGATCTGGGTGTGCTCTGACATCATCCAGCGTTCTAAAACCCTGCAAAGGCAAAAAACCATACAACTGTGGACTTAATGCGGTTAAGTTGAGAAAAGAGCTTAGCTTAAGCTTGTTGATATTCCTAAATTAATATATATATATATATATATATATATATATATAATAATAATAATATATATATACAGGTAATAGATCATAATAGTGTTTTTCTACATAAAATCACACTTCGACTTATTTAACCACACAACCAACAACAAAGAATTCAAACGCCACTACAATGCCACTGTAACATTATCAGCAAATCTCAGACTAGTAGCCCTTGGCCAAGCAGCAATATCTGTTAGGTTAAGTTGAAAAAATGGCACCAGAAAATTGCAGCAACCACTGTCACACCTTCAGAGTGGACCGTAATGGCTTATTGTTATTTTTATCATTTTTCATGCCCAAATTTTGTATTTAATATTTTTTGGTATTTCATACATTATAAATAGCCCAAAATATTATTAGATGAGATAATGTATCACTTTATAATGTGCATACATCTGCTATTGTTATAATTGCACGGTGGAAGTCTCTGAAGTCCATCAAATTTACCTGCTGCACCCATCGCTCAGCAGTTCCTGGTCCAGCGCCCCAAACATCATTGAAGAGGTTGATGGCTGCCATCTTGTCTCCACTCATCACCTCATCTAGCCTGCGCAAGCAGCCACTCTGCACAATCTCCCATATTTTGTCTGCGATCTGCTGACCAATGCTAGGCAATGCAGCTGCTTCCTGTTTGTGTAAAGCGTGTAAGGTATTTTACTATCAAAAGCACACCAAAGACATCTCAATTCTTTATCGTGCTGTTATCACTGTAATTGGAACCCTCCAACTTACATGGGCACTTATCATTGCAGGTGATAAAACCTTTAATATTTGCCTTCCTTTATAATTCACACAGACATTGTCACATACCAGTTTGCTAATGTATGGTACTCAACCCAGGTGTAGTCTGTAGGTGTGATGTAATAATTTAAATTCCATGTGTCTTTTCCTCCATCTAAGTAATTATGCACATTGAAAAGCCTACAGAAAGCTTGTAATCTACATACCTCCCATGACTCTATGGGTTTTGGGTGCTCCTTTAGCACTGCAACAGCTTTCGAGTAACCAAGTGATCGCCACTGGTCCTTAGTATTCTTATATGTCTTTGCAAGTATCTAAAAAAATTGTTAAACTCAGTTCAATATACAAAGTCAAACAAAAACAATATCGAAAGTGTAGTAGTGGTTTATATGAAGAAGGTAGAATGTGCATGAGGATTGCAAGGAAATTACATGCACATCACATTTTTACATCATTCAAATTAAATTTTTTATGTAAACACTAACATGAAATACAGCATAAAATGCAATGTAATACATATATTGCAGTGCACTTGTGAAGCAACAACAATACCTCTAGTTTATCTGTAATATGAGGATTGTGATTCACACTCCCATGTTTGGACGACATTGCACACACCCACCGGCCCTTCTGTGTAAAAATTCAATAAATAATAAACAAAATTAATACTTAAAGCCGCACAATGCGCATCCAAACGCTAATTTCTCCAGTACTAGACTAGCAAATACTTCGTGGCATGCATAATCACACTACCTTATGACAAAATAAACTCTAGTTCCTCCCATTTCACTGCGCGTTGTCTTATAAAAGGTATTTGAAAATATTCTCCGATGTTGTTCAAATTCTCCGATGTTGTTGACAGTTTCCCCAAGCAACCGTGCAGCGGTGCTACAGTACAGCGGTACAGGTGTTGCAAAGCATAGCAAAGATAAAAACATGTGACGTCACCAAACCAAGTCGAGGCTATGTTGTTTGGCAAACAATTTAGCGTTGGCGCCAGATTACCTGATTTGAGTGATTTCGCACCTCTTTCTTGTTGGTTTTAAGCAAACGCGCAGTGAAATGGGAGGAACTAGAGTTTATTTTGTCATAAGGTAGTGTGATTATTCATGCCACGAAGTATTTGCTAGTCTAGTACTGTAGAAATTAGCGTTTGGATGCGCATTGTGAGCCTTTAATCACAACTTACATTATTAGACTTATTACTAAGTCAAAGCACCAAGTACCTCCCGCTCATTCTACGATTGGTATCAAGTTCTTCCCATAATATAGCTGTTATGCAATACATGCGTACTCATTTACATCTTCTATTTATTTTTCACCTTTGTTGTGATAGATGACATTCATGGTGAGATGTTATATGCTTTCTCCACGTTAATAGGGGCTATTAGCACTCTCATTAAATAGTACCAGCATGATTCTACAAAATTGGCGTAAATAAAAGTGTCCTTTGGCTAGACAGTGTAATCATACCGGGAGCTGTTGGGCAATTACAGCAGTCCCTTCACTAGATGGCGCTGCTGTGCAATTATCACTACACTCTGACTTATGATTATCCCTGCTTGTCACACTGCAACACAGAACAAAAATTAATTTATAGAACAAGCACAATCGCAGGGAGGTCAGTTAGATTGCAAGCCAACCATCGTATAAACGTGTTTAGTAAAACATAAATAAATCCTACAGATTAATCTTGGATTTGTGCCTGTCTACTTTATGCATAGCCGTGCAACAGATGTAAAATTCATGCCTATAATTTGGTTATTACTGCATTTTCCAAAAGAGTTAAGATTAAAAGCAAGTTCTAAATACCCAGTCTTTCCATTTTCTTCATCGGTTGTGATGTTCACAGTATCACATATGCTAGTATCATTGCTGGTGCTACCAGCTATTCTGTTTACAGAATTATTAGCAAGCACAATCTGATCATCTCTGAATGCAGTGGTTTGTGACGGATGAGGCATGGTAAGCTCATAGACACTAGTGTCTACCAGGTGCTTGTTCTTCAGACATGCACTTAGCCAAAGTGACTTAAGCACTCTTGCATGGGCAATGGGCAACTTGTCAATCTGAAATTCAAATCATTGCATATTAACAAGAACATATGTATACTTGTGTTAATAACAATAACTATGCTGTGTTCATGCAATGAATTAAACAGGTAGCCATATGTATGATGCTACATCAACTTGGTCCTGAAACACCATGGTTTATTCTGTAATTTCAATAATTTACATTTATACCGACCTTTACCCACCCATCTATTAATGCATCAATTCACTATCCATCTATCCATACGTCCGTCCATCCGCCCGCCAGCCCGTCCGTCCATCCATCCAGCTATCTATCCATCTGTCCTTCCATCCATCCATCTATCTATCCATCTGTCCTTCCATTCATCCATCCATGCACACAGCACATACCTTGAGCAGTCTGCATAACCTGGCAGCATCCATGTTCTCGTCAACAATTATGTGCGTGCAGTTACCAGCAGTGACCTGCTGTGACACTGTCCCACCATACTTCTCCAGCTGCCTGCGGAAAATCTCCACCCGTGCTTTTCCAATCCCCGCCTCAACGATGCAGGCAGTGACGCCCGTAAAAAAGCGGTTACCTTGGACCGTAGCAGGACAGCAATCGCCTCTAGAAACGTGTGTTTTCTGAAGAAGAAATGATACGTGTGAAAATACAAGATGGCAATGTTTTATATATATATATCAATACACTCCTGATAATATATATATATATATACAGGGCACGAAATTCAGATTTTTTTGCACTGGCCCAGAGGGCTGGTAACAGTAATTTTTTACCAGCCCTCACCATAATTTACCAGCCCTCACAAATTTTGTTTGAAAATCAATGTCATGTTTCACGCTTGCATTCTTGATTTCAAATTTTGATAAATTATGGCATGATATCTTTCAGGTAAAACAGTAATATAGGCTATTTGCTCATTAATGGTATAAATAAAAATGTAGGTACTCGCTAACACGGCTGAAACTACCGGTTCGGTATGGCAACAGTGCCAGCACAGAAACCCAACATGCATTGAAAAATGTCTGAAACGATCATAGCCATGGCAACAGCATTTAAAATCAATGTACCATAACCCAGCAGCACATTTTGGTATTTCTGGCAAGATTTTGTGGTCTCTAGTGAGCATTATATTTGAAAGACAGAGGCTTGAAATATTTAAACCTGCATTAAGCTATTTTTCATTAATTTTCTGGCATTGATTTCGAGACGGGTTGGGGCATGACCCTAAAAGCATCCATGGATCCGGCAGTGCTTAGAAACACATCAGATAGCAAAAGGACCACCTACATTTCGTCAAAATTATACTTCGCATATCTTTCTAACAAGTGCCGCAGAGCGACAGCGCTCAAGTGATAGAAATGGTAGGTCAGCGCTGAAACAAAAAAGTTTTGCACTCGGTCCGTTAGACCATGTCCTCAGAAAATGTCTGATATCTGACGTCCCGAATATAAATCCCGTACGTCGAGCGATTTGTGCCCAACTGTTGACGCACGGACGGACGGACAATCATGTGATTCTACAAGCTGCATCTGACTTCGTCAGCTGAGCTAAACATAGTATTGAATTTCGTATGGGTTTACATGGGCCGTATTTTGTTTCGTACATCCATGGAGTACGGATATGCTTGGTCCAATGACAGATGGCCAGTGTACACGGTCAGTTTGCTAACGTGCGCAACATTACATGTACATGCATCACTCTTGACATGCATGTATACGGGTACTATTAACCTATAACGATGCCAATTAACCCTCTCAAACACACTGAGGCATGCCATTCTCTATTATACCAAGACATGTGTCACCAGCTGCCTAATGACATCAACCTATAGTAGGTACCCTGATCACTTGAAGAGTCAATATAATTACCAGGATGGTGACACATGCTATCACAATACGAGCTCTTCACCTGATGCGGGCCCTGCTAGAGTATTTAAGCAACTGGGAACGAATGCTACGGTTATACACAAGGAAAGCAGGACTGAGGAACTTCACAATGTATCTCTACTTGAACGCATTCTGCCTAGTTTTGGCACTCAGTGCAGGTGCTGTGAATTCGGCAAGCCTCGACTTTGACAGCATATTCAACAGGCGTGGAAACCAAGATGCTACCATCAGTCCACCTGAGCCAGACGACGCGTAAGTAGAGACTACAAACGTATTCTCAGAACGATATTATAGAATATGCAATGACATATTATAACAACAAATATCTTGTGCAATAAGAAATAATGGCAATAATAATATAAGCAATAGAAATTTATCTTCAATCTAAAGCCTCGTCTACACGACGAACCTTAACTCGAGTTAAGCGTTAACTCGAGTTAGCGTCTACACGACAACCCCCCCCCCCCCCCCCCCCGCCCCCCCCCCCCCCGATAGCGATATTACCGATTTAATTATGCATTGCTGTCGCGGGCCGTCAAAACCACGGCAGCGGGGAAGCGAGGGACACGGGGGTCGGGATGCCGGAGTACGTTGCGTGCTGCGTGTGTACAGGTGTGTTGCGTGCGTGTGTACAGGTGTGTGCGTGCGTGTGCACGTATACGTGCGTGCGTGCGTGCGTACGTGTGTACGTACACGTGCGTGCGTGCGGTGCGTATGCACGTACACGTGCGTGCATCGTGAGTGCGTACATGTGTCGTGCATGGGGCGTGCGTGCATGTCCACGTACACGTGCGTGCATGATGTGTGTGTGCGTGTGCAAGTCACGTGCTGTGCCATGCGTGAGTGCGTACATGTGTGGCGTGACGTGCATGTGCACGTACACGTCGTGCATGCGTGAGTGTCGTACATGTCGTGCATGCGTGCGGGCGTGTGCACGTACACGTGCGTGCATGCCGTCGCGCTGCGTCTCGCGCGTGTGCAGGTACACGTTCGTGCGTGCGTGTGTGTGCACGTACACGTTGCGTGCGTACGTGCGTGTGTGTACATGTACACGTGCGTGCGTGTGCACGTACACGTGCGTGCGTGCGTGCGTGCGTGTGCATTACACGTGCGTGCATGAGTGTGTGCTTGCGTGTGCAAGTAAACGTGCGTGCGTGCGCGGATTACCACGTGTGCATGTGCACGTTAGGCCATGTGCGGCGGTGCTTGCAGACGTTGTGCTGCATACGTGTGCACGTACACGTGCGTGCATGAGTGTGTGCGTGCGTGTTCAAGTACGCGTGCGTGTGTACGTACATCTTACTAGTGCTGCCGCATATCGTGGAGGTTAAGCTAACTCGAGTTAAGCGTCTACACGGGCCTTAACTCGAGTTACCTTAACCTCGATCGACTGGCGAGGTTAAGCTAACTCGAGTTGCACATAAAAACGTAAGACAAATGTTTTACATTACAGTTCTGGCTTAGCTGCCTACTCTAATGCTGGTAGCCTTTCCAAGCTCCTTAATGCTCCACAACCAGTGGGGTCATCTGGCTGTGAGGCTTTAGCCTTTGTCCTCGATGCTAGCTCCAGTGTGGGCAGAAGCCACTTCCAAACGGCAAAGGATATGAGTAAGGTGAGAAAAAAGAGAGATAAACAAATAGAGAAAGAGACATGGAGAGCGAGCGAGCGAGAGAGAGAGAGAGAGAGAGAGAGAGAGAGAGAGAGAGAGGAAAAAAAGAAATAGAAGGGAGCAAGCAGTGTGTGGGGGGAATGAAATATGCATGTGTGTCTACGTGTGTGTGTGTGTGAGAGAGATTGATCTTTTCTTTTAGAGAGAACACACCCTGTCAAATTTACAAGTGTAAATCACATTTCAGACAATTGTGACAGGCAAGGACAGCAGCATACCGATCGGAGACGACTGTTTTTACTGTCTGCAGATTGCCACAGTGGTCTACTCCCATCTAGTCGACACGTCAATGAGGTTTGGGGCGTACAGCAGCGCGCGAAGGGTATTGAACGCCATCGACAACATCAACTACCATAGTAAGAACCTGTCTGCGCACTGTGCACACGATCAGGAGTAGATAACAGACAATTTCCTATTGTTATGTTTGTTCCTATTTCCTATTATCTTATGTCCTATTGTTCCGTTTGTTCTTATGTGTATCATACAGTATCATACAGTATGAGACAGTATCAGACAGTATCACACCGTATCACACCGTATCACACCGTATCACACCGTATCACACCGTATCTAACAGTATCTGACAGTACTAGCTGACGATGATGATGATAGATGATGTAGAGACGATGATGTAGAGATGATGAGACCGACAATATGAGAAAGCATGACAAAGTATCAGACAGTATCAGACAGTATCAGACAGTATCAGACAGTATCAGACCGTATCACACCGTATCAGACAGTATCAGACAGTATCTGAGAAGCTGGTGGTTGCTGCAGGCGAGGTACATCGAAGTTATTAACTGCGGGTATTTAACATCTTTAACACGTCGTCACCAGGTGGCAGATCGACGAGAACGGGAGACGCGATGCAGCAAGCTAATCGCGAGTACGCACGCACGGACTGCAGTGAGAGAACGCTCGTCATTGTCACGGACGGCAAGTCCAATAGCGGAAAGGACCCTTGCCGCGTGGCCCGGCAAATGAAGCGTGGTGAGTGGTTCACTAACACGTTATATCGTGAGCATATATATATATATATAGAAGTAAAGTCACACACGAACAACCGTGTAGATAAAAACAAAGTCAATGTATAGAATAAGGGTGTTTAAAGTTTAATTGACAAGCTTTCGAGATTACATCTCTTCATCAGGTCAGCAGACATTGGAATAGAATCAAATAATCAAAAACAAATACAATGCGTTATAGATAATCAATGAGTCACGAGATTTGATGATAATCAATAATCAATGATGCAACGCGCGAATTGTGTGACTCATTGATTATCTATAACGCATTGTATTTGTTTTTGATTATTTGATTCTATTCCAATGTCTGCTGACCTGATGAAGAGATGTAATCTCGAAAGCTTGTCAATTAAACTTTAAACACCCTTATTCTATACATTGACTTTGTTTTTATCTACACGGGTGTTCGTGTGTGACTTTACTACTATATATATATACACACACACACACACACACACACACACACACAC